AGGTATAAAATATATAGTTATTCTAAACTTTCCCAAACTATCAACTATAGATCCTCTGTTGGCACTGAAATATTGTCTAATAATATAATGTGCAATTACTGTCACTTCACAAGGAGCAACAAGTCAAAAAGCTCTACTATATATATATTATATAGTGCTTTATTAGTGTTTTATTAGAATTTAGTGTTCCCTTTTGTTTATGAAGACTTAACACAAATGAAATGCATTTGTCTAAACTAACCCAGCAAAGTATTTAAGAATAACTAAATAAGTTTTCAGAATAACTGGTTATATATGTTGAAATCTAATGTTCTACTGGAAAACAAATATGCAAACATTATGTAAGCAACAAAGGTCAACTCTCAACTTGAATAAAAAATAAAAACTAGTATGTAATCAAATAACAATTCAAAAGATTCTAAATTTCTAAATACTGATGTTAAATGGAGAATGATTGTTCCATTTGCACCCCACAATAAGCCATGGTCTCATCTTGCAAAAGGACTGCTTTTGTCCCTCTTGCCTTTTGATATGGGGGCGGGGGGAGAATTACCATAGCTTATTATTTCATCAAAAATTTACAAAGTGTGATTTCTTTTGACTATCATATCTTTGAGGTACAGAAATATTAAGCCCCAATTTATAAAGCTGGATTGGTTCAATAGGCCATGGTTAAGATACATAAACATTTAGGGTTCAGGCATAAAACTGCATAATCTAAAATGAAAGCAGAAATATCTGATCTTGTCATTGATGTGCTAGAGCACAGAATTAAAAAAAAATAAAGCTTATATTCAGCGTTTTTTAAGAAAACATACAAACGTATTATTAATATCCAGATTTACCATTAAACCAAAATTTTATACAAAACAATGAGATTAAACAATACTTTAAAAGAACATGTAATTAATGAAGTTTTAAGTATCATAACGAGCTATTATGGATATGCTTTTAAGATCAATTAGTATTTTAATGATATGGAAAAGTTTTGTTCAGCTAATATTTACACAATATTCAGTTTTTGAAAAGTGTCCTTGGTAAAACTGTTCCATTTACAGTTAAATCATGGATCAATTTTAAATATTCACAAAGTAACTTCTGCTGCAAAACAATGAAGCACTGTTGAAAACTACTATACAAAGCAACAAATACTTATTATAAATATTTATAATTATACCTTTATGAATGATTCCCAAGATACGGCTTGAAGTCATGAAGATGTTCAAGCCTATGGCATGATTTAAGACATTATATAGAGCTTATTGTTACTAATAAACACAATGTATCAGTAGAGTAAATAGTATTTATTATGCTTGACATCAAATTTCAAGTCACACCTTTTAGTCCTTGGCATTATTAACAGGTTTACACACTATTTCATTTGTATTAATTCATAATAAAATAATTAAAGACAACAGTATGCAGATTTCAGATGTTATTGTATAAAATTTCAAGTTGGTCACACGTTTGCAATGTGAGTTTGAGGAATCAGTTAAGATTTCATTGCCCAAAGCAGATGAACAATGTAAATTATTTTTTTAAACAAATGTTAAGTAGAGGTAAAAATGGTTATGAAACAATTGCTTGCAATGACAACATTGCATTTTTAAAATACTGAACTGTATTTTAAGAGTTTCTTTGCAGTGGAGTCACTTCACAAAAGAGACTAAAAGCATATTACATCAAGAAAATAAATTATTTCAGCTATTCTTTTTGTTTAATTTTTAAAATGTACCTGCTTTTGTTCAGCAATGGACTTTAGAGAATAACTTCTCCATTTATTTCTTTAAGCAGCAATTGGAAATATTTACTACCAGGCAGTACCTAATTTTAGGTTTTAAGTGCTTTAACAGCTCTATGAAATATGATCAGCAGCTGCTATATAAAAGTATGCTGAATAAACTCCTCAGGTTAAAAAAAAAAACCCTTCTCTAAGCAGAGTTTGGACATCTTCATTTTTAAGTTATAGCAACAACTTTACCAAAAGTCATTCTAATAAATACAATTATGCCCCACTCAAGATGAAACAGTGGTACTACCTGAAAATCAGAAGGTAAATATCTAATAAACCTTCACTTTAATATGTAGGTTTGCAGTTGCCCTCTTCTGTAAAATAAGTGTATCAGTAGATTTTGTCCATGATCACTTGCAAGATAATTTGGTTCTGCCCCGTTCAAATGAATAAGAATACAATATTGTATATAATCATTTAACTAACTTGGGGGGAAAACGGTATTTGCTAAAGTTAAGCTTCTACACATCTCTGCGTTAAGAATACTGTGACCTTTAATAGTTACTTTAAGAAATCCCTTTGATATCAGTAGAACTTCCATATTTTTGTATTTAAAAATAGAGCTTAAAAGTTTTACATTATTATTATATAATTATAAAGATTGTACAAATAAGGAGTTAAAAGCAATGGCAGGATGAGCTAGAATTTTATAAGTCAATTCTTCTTAAATTACTGTCAAAACAGGTTCCTACTACAGAGGAATTCAAAATTATTATGCTTCATTAGAAAAAAGTATGTACTGAATTAGTGCTAGCATACCTCACTATAGAAGTACTACATTACCAGTTATGCTTATCACAAAGCTATAAGCACATCGTTTTTATTTTATGCTAAGGATACCTTGAGGAAAAAAACCGCTGCAGACAAAACAGAGTATTGGTAATTGACTGGATACTGCTTAATAAAAAAATCTTTAAATAAACAAAGCAAAAAACGCAAAGCATTATTTTAAACAGAGACTGGATGAATTTAAGGAATATATCTGCATTCCTAATGTAACTACTGGAATGAAACATGGTACATTCACATATTGTCTGTATCATGACTATGAATGTAATGCTGACAGACTAAAGAAAAAAAAATAGTGTTTGGATCTCTATCACTCTAATCGCAAAAGCCTGGTTAGAGAATAAAGGATATACAAAAGCCTTAAATGCAGGGAAACCTATGTATGCTGGAACAGGACTCAAACCAAACTAATACATACATTTATGAAAACTAACTCCATTAATCAATGTTTCCCATATTATTCTAATGTAAAGTTAATTTCATATTTCAAAACTACTAATTATGTTGTCTGTTCTCCATTTGTCAACTCTTGTTCGTTCTAAACATACAGATATAAAAAACAGGAATATAGATCAGTTTTATGTCAGGTTTTAGTGACAGTAATTTTCTTCCAGGTGGACAAATTCCTCAGTCAATAGTTGTCCTTGGAAAGTCAAAACTTTGTATGCCAATGTCACTACATGATAATGAAATAGTTGCAAGTAGAACAACAATATACAACAACAGTAATAACAGACAACAATAGCTTGGATGCATTAAATTTTTTCACCATTTCAGCTGCAGCATTTTGCACAGAAGAAAGAGTGCTAAGTTTGAGTAGTCCAGAACATTACTATTTTGCCATAAAGCAAGCATTCTTTCTTCAGTTTCTCCTGTACCTAAGTGTTTAATGAGAAGGCAGCAACATCAATTAATGGCCAAAGCCTGTGGACTAAATACAAAATAATAAAAACAATTATTTCAAGGAGGACCAGCCACAGGAAAGTCTTCCACGTGGTAGTACTTTAAGATCAAAACATAAGCCATTGACTGTATAGTATTCATTGCACCTCACTCACCTGATCAGCAAAGTCAATTCCTCTGTACCCCAAAATAACAGGAAGAGGGAAAGGAATTTAATATATGTTTTGTAGCTGTAAGTTTAAATGCACCCATAAATGTTTTGGGGTTTTAAAAAATATATAAATAAATAATACAGAGAAGCAGCTTGCACCCCATACATTTTTTATTTCGTATGCTACTCGAAGTCTAAAAACAAACCTCCTTATTAAGACTTGCATGGCTTATAAATGCAAACTAACTTCTTCAGGAAGAACATGAAGGCAGACTGGAAAGTTCCAGGTTTCCAATGCAGCGAAGTAATGCACAGTTTAGCTTCAAGATTTATAATCCAAGTTAGGGGGGAAAGAAAAACCCGATTGTTCCAAAAAAGCTGGCACAGAGTTTCTCCATTTTAAAATACGAGTAACTTAGAAGAACATCCCCCCGCCAGAGTTTTGGAGAGTTTCACGATTTTTCCGGTCCCCCACCCGGCACCCCACTCCGACAACGACGGTTCCCTGCTGAAACGCCACTCCGTCCCTGTCTGAAGCAAGTAAGTCGAGCAGTTATGAAACAGAACGCTAGAAAAACAAGCGATCTTTTGAAACAGAACACGAAAACCGAGGAGGAACCACCTAGGGCATCAAAAGTGGTCGTTTGTTTTCTCTTACCGGTATGTCACGTTTGTTATTAGAGTGACATAACCAACGGAGGCAAGAAACCCGAGATGGAATCAGCCTGGTGAACTGGGAATTCTCGCGAAAGAGCCAAGCGAACTTTTCTAAATGTTTCGTCTTATTCCGAGGGCCTACTCAAAGGCGAAATCTCCGTCATCTGAAAAGGCACCAGGGCAGCAACCCAGCGCCGACAGAGCCCACGGCCCGCAAGAGTCGCCCTCTCGAGAAACCCTCGCAGGTTTCCTGCGAGACCCAAACACACGCGCGCGCGCCCTCCACGCCTAGTCCCGTGACGCGAAGGGCGAAATGGACTTGAGCCGCTCGCGGGGCACCGAACGAGACTCTCCGTTCTAGCAAGAGGCGCCACTTGTCAGCAGCTTTTTCTGTTTCAGTCGCCAGACTTTCCCACGTTGTTGTTCTTTCAAAGCAAAGCAGACCACAGCACGGCTAAACAAGGGAGCAAACGGGTTCCCCCACCAGTTCGCCGCCACACGGAAAGAGGGCTGGGGAGCTGGAGAGGACGGAGAGAGAAACGACGGGAAAGGTAAGGAAAATAACTGCACCCACCTTTTCCTGCCAGGACTCCTACGACAGATTCTTACAGTTGCTGCTCCTGCTCGCTTCGGTATTATTTATTCTCTCCCCGACTCCAAGTCGAAGGTCCCCTCTTGAACAACTCTATTTTTGTTAAAGTAAGAGGAGGAACATCCCTTCCGAAGTTATACCCTCGCCCCGTCTTTCTTCACGCGCTAAAGTTACAACTGAGGAGCGGGGACAAAAAGTATAGAGGGGGACTTTTACTCAACCGCACTGCCAACTAAAACTTCAAAAGAAAATCCTTACTTTCTGGAGGTGCCCCTCTTGAGGTGTCCCTAGTTTTGCTCCTCGCAATTTTCAGAAAAGCCTCTCCTCTTAAACCGCTCTTTGTAAGGCAGACTAGATCTCAGATCAACACCCAGAAGTGAGTGTCCGGGGGGGAAAAAAAGTTTTTAAAAAAGCGCGCGCCACGTTGCCCAATTTTCGAGATGCCTCCTCGTTTTGCACTTGTGCGGCGACTTGTTGCGAGTTCGGGAGCAGCGCTCCGAAGCAGCAGAACGTTGGCGCGTGCGTGCCTAGTGCGAGGTGAGGGAGGGAGGAACGGTGTTTACAGCTGACAGCCGCTCGTTGTCATTGGCTGCTTTCTCGCGTGACTATTGGTTGATCGCGGGGAGCTGGAGGGAATCGGCACGTGGCTGCTGGCCCTCGGACTGCAGCCCCCGCGGTCCCTTGCGGACGGGACTGCGTGGCGAGGCGAGCCTGCCGTGCTCTCTTTAGCTTCTCGCGCGGTGTTCCTCAACACTGACGCGCTCCCCTTTTGGAAGCGTTCCTATCTTAAGGAGTAGTAATTTGTACTTGCCCAACAGTAAGCAAACACTCAGCTCTTCCACTCGCAGGATTTAAGGCCACACCTACCTAAATCCCCCCTCCGTTTCTGTCCTCCCACTTACAGACCTACAAGAACAACATAAGAGAATGGACTCTGAGGCACCGAGGCTTGTTCTTAAATAGGCTGTTGTCAAGTGCAGGGCCACTAGCCAATTTCTCTTAGGCCATATAAAGCCTGTTGAATGTCCGGATTCTTGCAAGTTGTAAACTGGTTACTTCATTTTGGAAAAGGAATCACTGCCCACGGCTGGCAGTGGGTAGTTCTGCCCAAATGCACTTCTGTTTGCTTCTCTTCAGCTTGAAAGCCTGGGACTAGAGAGCACTGTGGTTCCCCTTCTACCCTATGTGGATTTCAGAGTGAGCCAACAACTGAGTTGGATGTAAACATAGAGTCAAAGCCAAGAAGGCAAATTTTCGGGGGTGGAGAAGTCTATTAGTGCCTATCACCTACTGCAAACACAAATGAAATGTCAAGTGGTGCTTTCAGTGATTGCCAAATGCCAGAGGACAAATAAGGATGAGTGGCTGACACTACGTATCTTGTGAACTTCTCAGAAACAACTGGTTAGGTAGTCCATGGAAATAAATATGCAGGAGACTTCCCCTAAGGTAAGCATAGGCACTGATTTTGTGTTGGGCTTTGGAACACATTCAGCTGTACCTGAAGTAGAATTGCCCTGGAGTTGGTGGTACTATTAGCATTTCACACCAGGGGATGTATATTAGGGTAGCAAATAATTTCTTATTGTATAATGATAATGGTCAATATGATTGGGTAGAATTGAAATAATTGGGGGGTACTGAAATAATGCAAATCAATCAATCATGACATCCCATATCTTTTTACTCCTGCATTTTTGCTCATTGAATTGCGTAAGATTGGAACCTTTCATTTCTGCTTCTTTGGTGGAAAAGTTGGGTTTTAAATAAATACATAAATTCCTGTTCCTTGGAGAAAATATTTGAATTGTCTGCACTAGCCACCAAAATGTCTCAGGATAACTCTAAAATAGTTAACTATTGTCCTTTATGTATTAGCTGCTGCTACTTTATTAAAAAAGAGCCAGCTTGATGTAGTAGTGAACGCACTGGGCTAGAAACTAGGAGACCGTGAGTTGTAGCCCCACCTTAGGCAGAAAGCCAGCTGGGTGACCTCAGACCAGTCACTCTCAGCCCTAGGAAGTGGGCAATGGCAAGCTACTTCCAAAATCTTGCCAAGAAAACTGCAGGGACTTGTCTAAGCAGTTGCCAAGAGTCAACACTGACTCAAAGGAACAAACAAAACTATTAATATTGCACTTATTTGTATATGTATCTGTGTGCCTTATAAACAGCGTGCTCTAAACCTCTAATTTCATTTGTTGCAAGAAAATGTCTCTTTTTATCTTTTAAAAATGTACTTTAGAAAGTACATCTTTAAGCCAGAGCTTTGCAGATTGTGAGGGATCTCAGGTGAGACAGAAAGATTACTCGGGTATGGATCAGCTGATCTGCCATCTCTGTTTCGCTTGATTTCAAATCCATGGCTTTTTAGTGCATTAGTTTGTTTAGGTTTGCAACAGTTTCCAGAAGGGAGGCTGTATTGGTATCTTACAGCTAAAAACACCAAACTTGTGGTATTTCAAAGTTGATGAGGATGATGATGATGGGACTATACTTTCATCTGCCTTTTCCCCCCACCCCCTCACCTAAGCACCATGTTACTGGCCCTGGCTTTGTGGTTCCTCCGTAAGGATGATTAAAGTATGAATTAGCCTCAAGTATCCTTCTCAGCTAGATGAAAGGAAAATAATCTACAAATGCAACAAATACTATAAGCAATTCTCAATTTGTAGTTGTTATAGAATGTACTTGGAATCCATAATGACACAAGCTTTTTGCTTTCCAAGACTCTTGTCTCTATGACCTTAAACATGCTCAGATCTCATGTTATGCCACAAACTACAATTTCTTTTGATGAGATTCTTTGAAGACCTATTCCTGCCCAGTGCAGGTTCTTTGTTTCTTTGTCCTGCCCAACACAGGCTTCTTTTCATCTCAAAGCAATTTCATCAAACTGTGCTAGACCATATACTGAGAATTTCACTAGTGTTTCAGAGGCTCAAATTCACACAAAGTAAAATGGAACGGGATATTTTTATTTTTGTTTCAACTGTCAAGCAAAATGAAGAAAGGTAGCCAAACAATTATTAGACTTCTTACAAGCTGAGATCGACTTCTGATAATTTTCATGTACTTTTCTTGGCAACAATAATGTTGTTTACCATTCCTTTCTTCCAGTTTTGTTTTATATTGTTTTTAACTTCATAGTCTAACAGCAGCCCTGGGATTTCCTGAAAACTTCTCATCAGACTCATTACAGACTAAATAGGTCTGACCCTGCTTATCTTTTTGAGGTGGGCCAAGGTTGGCCATGTAGTACCAGCTGCTATAGACAAAGACACCTTATTCAATCATTCGTCATAAATGTTTTCTATGGATTTTACAGACTACCTTTCCCAATATTGGGAATTATATACTGTAAACTTTTCAGCTATGCCTGTACATTTACTATTTTCCTCTTCTATTAAAAGCATGAGTTACTTTAAAAATTGAATGTATTACTTTCTATGATAAATATCTAAGCAAATATTAAAAACATGCTTAATCATAAAATATAAATTGTTTTAGATATTTAAATAAATGGCTTTCGTCTAAGTGATCTGACTTTAAACTCTCAAACAAATTATTGAATTTTATTAAATGTATCATTTTATTTATCTATTTGCTTTATGCTTATTTCCTACACCCAGATTAGTTGCCATTACTTTTCTCCATTGTTTTACAGCGCTTACAGAAGCATGAATCAGGCATCACTTCTAACGTGTGATGCAGTTGTTCTATGTGAAGTGCTACTAATTTGCCCTTTGAAGTTTATAAGATCAATATAGACAGAAGTTAAAATAGAACAAGGTCATTTCTGCTATGCAGCAGTATGAAACACAATGATGGTCAGGTGTAAAGGAAAGTAATATTTTATTAACATTTTTTTAAAAATGATTTTCTTTTTTTCTTTGTTAAATATTGCTTGAAATTGTTTTTTATTGTTTACTTGGCAAGTGAAAATAACTTCTGTAGCTGAAGTATCTTATAACACAGTCTTGTATATACAGTATTGATTTTGAAGTCCTGTTGAGCTTAATGGGATTTAATAGCTGGTAAATGGATACAGGATTGTAGTTTGAATTAACATAATTAACTCATTAATTTTATGTTTTAATTAATTCACTTTAAATAAAGATGATACAGTTGAGGATTTAATCATGATTGAAAGAATTTGTAGACTGCCCCATTCCAGACAATTCTGGACAGCTCTTTGGAAAACCTTGCTCCCTGAGGTCCAAGATGACCTCCAGCCCCTCTCTTGGTGGAAGAGCTACTAAAGCATTTTGGACAGGTGGCTGTCTAGCTTCTAAAGACCTCCATTGAAGTAGAACCATATTTCGAGGCAACCTATTCCATTAATTGGCAGCTCTTATCCTCATAATATTTAAGCTGAATCTTCTTTGTAGTTTCAACCCATTGGTTCTGATCCTGCCTTCCAAGGCAACAGAGAACAAATCCACTCCCTCTTCTGAAAACTGAATACACCAAGTTTTTTTTTTTAATTCCTCATAGTATTTCATTTCCACTGATCATATTAGTGGTCCTCTGAACTTGCTTCAGTTTGTTGATGTGATTAGATTGCAGTACCCAAAACTGGATACAATATTCCAAGTGAGAGGGCAAAACAATTACTTCCCATGATCTTGTCTCCATGCTTCTTGTCTTTTAAGCAACTGCATCACATTGGTGGCTCATGTTCAGTTTATGATCTATTAGAACATCCAGATCCATTTCACATCTACCACTGCCAAACTAGGTTCCATTTCCCCCAACCCCAAATCCTATACTAGTGGCTTTCATTTTTCCTTTCCAGATACAGGCTTCTACATTTTATCCTGTGTGTTGTAGCCTACTATCCCACTGCATGTGTCTTTTTGAATCTTCTCTTTCTTTTTCAAAGTGTTAGCCATTCTTTCTAGTGTTGTGTCATCTGCAAATTTGATAATCATCCCTCAGTCCCTTCATTTAGTTATT